TTATTCTTGTAATTCTATAACACAATTGTAATGTTACGACTTTATTCTCGTAATTTTACGACTTTATTCTCATATATTTCAACTTTTTTCTCGTAATCTTACAAATATATTCCCATAATTTTAAGACTTTATTCTCATAATTTCACGACTTTATTCTCATAATTTTATGACTTTATTCTCGTAAATTTACATTATTCTCATAATTTTACGAATTTATTGTTGTAATTGTACAGCTTTATTCTGGTAATGTTACGACTTTATTCTCGAAATAGAAGAAAAAATAATACGCCGACGCAAAATAAAATTATAGCAAAAAAAAAAAATAAACAAACAAACAAACAAAAAAAAAACATCAGTTAACCGGTTAATTTTATTTAGCAATACGGTCTGCCATACTGGGAAGCCACCGCCTACTGCGCAGCCGCAGCCCAGGTGACGAAGATGGTGCTCATCAAGGAATAGTGAGTCTGAAATGTTTTCGAAAATATACATTTTACCATTTCTAACTGTATATTTCTGTTTTTTGCCAAGGTGCATTATGGCGAACTAAAGATATGTGGTCCGTTTAGTGACGTCATTGACGGTATCTGAAGGGTTTGTGTGCAGTGAGTTCAGGCAGGGTGGATCAGGATAACGGGACACCGGTCTGTTTTAGGCGTTGCTAGTACAAGCTAGCATTAGCCTCCGAGTGGTATCAGCAGAAGGGATAATTAGCCTCTTAATGCAACCGACCTGTGCTAAAAGGCTGCTATGGTTCACCATAACCACACTGCACTTTTAGTTAAAAACCACCAAAATAATCACACAAAATGAAATACAAAGGGTGTGTCTTGGAGCTTGTAGTGTGTTAGCAGTGAGGCTCGTGTTTAAATTGCCTCAATGTTAAGCTGTGGTCTCGTGAGTGAAAGATTAAAGCTTCTTCTCTGACGGATTTAACAGAAATGCTATGTAGCACATTTAGCTTTAGCAGCCGGGCTAGCTGCTAGCATCACATTTCCCTACAGTTCTTACAGCTAAATAGAAGCCGAATGTCACCTAATGTCAACACTTATATTGAGGACAAAGGTTATGGAGACGTTTTGCTAGCTCGACATTTATTTCCACCCTTTGAGTTAGCTTCTAGCTTCCCTTGCTGTTGCTTTAGCAGGGAGTTAGCCTAAGGTTATGGGCGGCTAAATTAACAGTGTTAGTCAATTTGATGAGCTATAAAGCTCAGACTGTTTATATTACTGACTTCTAATAGCCTTCACCCTGCTATTTTAGTTTTTTCCTTATCACAGCTTAATTATTTGAAGCCTAAGCTTTGCTCTGTGGCTAACTCCATACCCGCAAATAACGGTGCCTGCTGTTTGAAGTGGGCACAAACTGGATTATTTAAGCCAGATAGAAATTCTAAAACAGAAACTCTAAATGTAAATCTTTAGTAAAATATCCATTCCCCGACATGACAGCTAATGTAGATGCTAAAGACTGGAACGTAATGTGATGATGAACAAGACAGGGCAGGTTTGTTGGAGTGGAAGCTGCCCTATGCCAAGGAAAAGGAGGCGTGTATTTGTAGGCGATTGTCTTTTTTTTCTCCTTCTGGATTTAATAGGTATTTTCATTTACAAGTAACTTTTACTAATGTGCCATTTGCCGCTTGGTAAAAACAGTATCAATCAAACATCAGAAATAAAAATAGGTGAAAATATGAAGAGCAGCAAATATACACTGCAAAAAAATGAAGGGAGCACTGAAATAACACATCCTAGATCTGAATGAATGAAATATTCTTATTGAATATTTAGTTCTGTAAAAAGGCGAATGGGCTGACACAAAATCATCAATGGAAATCGAATTTATTTACCTATGGCCACTGGTGGTTCAGTGGTCTAGCACTGGATTAAGGGGCTGGTTATCCTCCCGCAGCAGTATGACGCAGACATTTTTGATTTAGACTCAATATTGAAGCGTGGTCTGCGTTATGTTTATTCCACGCCACAACGAAAAAGGGGAAAATCAGGAACTAGCTGTGGGTCTAGATACGGCCGAGGCGGTGAGGAAATGTGTCAAGTTTATCTGACGACGAGGCACGAGGGCAAAAAAGAGCAGGTATTACCGCAGCAGGCTAACCTCGCTCTTCTAGCTGGTCCAACTTCACAAGTTGTTTTCCGCGATCGCGGTCATACAAACAAAACAAGCCGGTAAGGTACCAAACAGGAGATACGCATGAGTAGAGCGGATGTAGATTTAAACAATCAGAGCCCTCCTGTCTGTCTGCTGTGACCTACAATGTGGGAGAGGTGCAGCAGAGTTTCTGCGGAGGGGGGTGGTGACGTCTCTGCGTTCACCGCGACACCTACGCAGACAACCTGATTTCGAAGTATAAATCAGCCTTTATTCCACGCCACAATGCAATCACAAACTAGCTCTGGGTCTAGATACGGCCGAGATGATGAGGAAGTGGGGGCACATTTTTGCGACAACGGAATGACATGAGGAGCAGCAGACATCATAAGTTCCAAACACTAATTTCAGGGAGATGCTTATCGAACTTGATACTTGAGGATTCAAGCTATTTCACATGATGCATAGGTTTGAGTGTTAACTAGGTGACTGTAAGAGAGTAAACCGAAACATCTTGGCTTATTTTTCTGACTAATCCAATCAGCGTGCTCTCTGACAACCAGTCGCCTGGAACGCTCGTTAAACAGAGCGTCGCTTTGGATAGATATGCTGCACCCTCTCTCTTGTTGTGCCTGTGCAGTCGAAGTAGTTCTAATCCTCACATGATGCACGAATTATTGTTTTGCCTGCACGCTCTCACTCACATAAAAAAAAAAAAAAAAAACACCTTGCATGGTCTAAAATCCGGGATAATTTATCCGACTCGCGGGCACCCGTGAACAACTATTGATCGAAGGGAAATTCCTGGAGCTTCCGGGAGACTTGGGATATCTGGAGCGGGGATTCAGGTCGAAAGAGGGTCCCAGTGTTCCTGTCCATATCTGAGGGGGAACCAGCTAACACCTGTGAAGAGCACTGGACATCAGTAGCAAATTTGCCAATGCTGGTTTTCTGGCAAAGCGTCCTGCACAGTGTTGTGCGCTTACCACAACCCCCATTTGTGGACGTCAGGCCCTCATACCATCCTCATTGAGTCCATTTCTAACACTTTGTGCGGACAAAGCACATTTGTGGCCAGCTGGAGGTCATTATGGAAAGGTCTGGCAGCGCTCCTCCTGTTTCTACTTGTAGAAATGGGTGTGTCTTTCTAAGTGCCAATAATTTCCACCTTTTGTTTATGTTATTTTTACACAGCATGTAAAATGGATTTATGTTGCTTCCTGTGTGGACTGGTTGATTTCACAGGCGTTTGATTTAATATAGGTTACATAGTGTTGGTGACGTGTTCCCTTTTATATTTTTTGAGGAGTGTATATTGTTCAGCCTTTAAATACCATGTTGGTTGTCTAAGTGTGTTCTTTTATCTGATGTTGATGCATACTAAACTTTAAAGAATATCTATTGGCTGGATGTAGAAGGTTTCCAGTTATTAGTTCCTTATACAGTAACACTAAGAGTATAACGAGCTCTAAGTAACTGTTATATTCTCTGCTGTTTGCTTAACAGATCTGCCACTAGCATTTTGGTTAATCTAGTTTTAAAAGGTCAATTTAAAAACGTGTAGTTGTTTTTTTCACATAATAAGAGTTTGTATTTTCAAAGACAGATCAAAATTTGTTCATTTATTAAGGGAGGGTGAAGTTTGGAAAACTTCTTTATTTTTTTTAATCTAATGCCCCACAAAACTAATGAGATTCAACACATTCTTTCAATTCTTTAAATTTTTCTTTTAATAAAACAACTTTAAACCATAGAAATGCTAAAACAAAAATCTGCTAAATGTAAAATTGAATCCATTTCTATTTGCAGCCTGTGGACTTTCTTTTCTGTCCTTGTGCTGTTATTATTAAAGATCAATCATTACTGATACTCTTTTTGTTAAAATCTTGTTGTAAAACTTAACATTAAATATTTAATCTTATTATAGTTTATATCAACCTAATTGATAGTTAATTACCAGGCAGACTAATCTGCCTAAAGCATTGATTTCTTTCTGTATAGTTATCCACACACAAACAACTGCTTTAACAGATATCTGGAATATTACCTTTATGTTTTTAGCCTTATCTTCATAAACATTGGTACGTAAAACATTTATATATAATAATGTTTTCTATTTCTGTATAGCTTCCCAATAGTAAAGGCTCTTCTTACCCTACATACAGTCTTATTAAATCAGAAGTAACTTAAATAGGTTAAAACATATCTCTCTTTACAGGGCAAGAATACTGTTTCCCAAATTTATTGCTAAACGAGAAGATATAAAATCCATCTATATTTAATCTCCACACGTTAAATCTTAGCATTATAACATGAAGACTAAAATGAACTTGTTTTTACAACAAATACATCCATATTTCTGTTTTTAGTTTCAGAAATCTAAAACAAAGTTAAAAACCAACTGTTTAGGATTAAATCATGAGACGCCTGTAGGTCCTCCTTTTGCCTTTATCGAGTTCATCCATGTCTTCCAAGGATGCAGCTGATGCTTTCTTGGAACAAAAAAAACTGATTTTACTGTGGAAAAAAGTTTACTTTTTATATTGACACTAAAGATTAATTGAGTCAACCAGAGATTTACAGCAAATTTCCAACCTTTGGTGACAAAGGCCAACTGATTTTTCCCAGGTCCAAATTCTCTTTAGCGCAGGTCTTCAGCAGGGGGTCTGCAACCCCTAGGGGTTCCACAGAGGTACTGTATGGGGGCTGCGAAATTTTTGGTTGATTAGACCCCCCTGCAATTTTTTCCATTAATTAAAATGTATTTAAATCCACATTAACATGAATTCACTGCAGTAAACAGATAAATGAAGGCAGAAGATGTGCCATCAGTTTGGGGGTCCTTGGCCTGGAAAACATTGAAGACCCCTGCTCTTTAGTATTTAGAAAAATTATAATAATAATTGAACTTTATTAATCTCTCATTGGAGAAATTGAACTCTGCATTTAACCCATCCTCTTTGGAAGCAGTGGGCTGCCATTGTGTGGTGCCCAGGGAGCAGTATTTATTGGGTTAAGGGTCTTGCTCAAATTGGAAGCCCAGTACAAGCTGTGGGGATTGAACTGGGTACTTGCAACCTTCTCAGAGCACAAGTGCACTTCTCTAACCACTAGGCCATCACTTCCCATCCCGTTAGTCAGCAAATACACCAAAAACCCTGAGTCACATTATGTGACAAACTGATTATCGAGTTAAATTCAAGCTTTCTTTAGCAACTTTTATGGATGATTAGCACTTCTAGCTAACTCGCAGCTAAAATAGCTGACTCTAACTTTACGATTTCATAAAGCCTGCCATCATTTCAAGATCTGGAATGTTCTATAACAGGTTTAAAGCAGGAAAGAATAAATCAAGCAGCTGTGCTCTGCTGCATTCAGCCGTTCGTTCACTCTTTCCGTTTGTAGACTCCATCATCAGTTGACCTGCCTGTTTAAAAAAAACAAAATATTTTCCTTTAAATGCCTTCTGGCATTACTGTCTCTGCTAAGTTTGTTCATATCCCTCATTAGTCCCGAGAAGAGCTTGTCTTGTCAAGTTTTCTTTCCTCAGTAAAAAAACTTTTTCATTAAAAAAATATCCCTCCTTGTCATCGTTTGCATGACTGATATGGAGGGAATTTTGTTCCATTATTGTTGCGAGCAAATCTGAATCGAATAATTAATAATTAAACTTTTATAATCAAAGGTTTTACTTTTTTTCATAACATTTTTTCCACTTCTATTTTCTTCACTTCTTTACAGATTTTATTTTAATTTTATTTTGAGATTTACTGTTATTATTATTATTATTATTACTAGAGATGCAGGATCCAGTTTTTTTTATTTTAACCAAATCAATCTGATAATGATATCCGGGATGAGAGTAACGGCTGATGTGACGTTGAACCATTGCATGAATGAACCATATATCTTGCCATGTGACTGAACGCTTTAGCCTTGACATAAATATAGTTTAAATAAGTTAATACATAACAAGGATATAAATGCAGTATTATCATTTATTAACAAATGAGGATCAAAAAGAAATAAATAACATTTCCATGTCAAATGCACTAGATTGGATCTGCGATTTCTGATATAAAATCATCGATATCCGATCCAGTAAAATCATCGATATCCGATCCAGGAATCAGATCGGTGCATCTCTAATTATTTTTATTATGACATCTTAATCTCAGGAAAGAGTAAAGTTTGAAACCTTTTTTTTTTTTTTTTTCTCGGAATGCAATATTTTGTAATCTTTGTGTTCTTTGCTTGCAATAATGATGGAACAAAACTCCCTCTATAGGTTCATTATGGAGTGCTGCATTGTGGAACAGTTTGTAGCACTGCTGCCTTGCAGCAGGAAGGTTCTCGGTTAAATTTCCGACCCGTGTCTTCCTACATGAAGTTTGCATGTTCTCCCCATGAATCTATCCAGGTTCTCCGGCTTCCTCCCACACTCCCAAAAGGTTAGGTTAGTTATGTTCTCCATATTGTCCTTAGATGAGAGAGTGCATGGTTGTGTGTCTCTGTGTTGGCCTGCGACAGACTGGCCACCACTCCAGGATTTACCCCACCTCTCATGCAAAAACTTTCAGAGAAAGGCACCATGAAAATGGAATCATTGTCATGCATCACAGATCGTGTATAAAGCTAGTAAACAATGACCACCACTCAATATCCAAAATCCTTTCAGCCACAAAGATGGAGGCTATCATTTATGTGAAATGTGGAATCCCTCAGTGAAAACAGTAGGAAGAGTTTTTGTGTGTCTGTATGTGGAGATAAACTGTGGAACAGCCTGGAGGACGAACATAAGGAGTCTCCCAATATACATATGCTCATTACTGTCAGCTTTCTTATTCATAATAATTAGATTATTGATAGTATTGGATTGATAATGAATATTAATGTAAACTGATGAATGGTGTTAGTATTGTTATTATTATTGGTGCTACAATTAATACTCTTATCACTATTATTTCTTGTCATGTGTGTTTTTGATAGGATTATATAATAATAATTATATTTAGAGTAATTCTTTAGTTTTATGCAGCAAAGGGGTGGGATTAAATGAGAATGGTTTTCTTCCCACTCCTTTTGAACAAAGACTTGTTTTTCAATGGTATCTTTTTTTTTTTACATTTGTTTTTAATTATTGTCTTATCTTCAAATAGAACATTAAATTAAAAAAAAGACCTACTAGAAAAAATAGATTATATCTTTGTTTTCAGTCGAGCAACATTTGAGTCCAGGCACTCCTTAAAATGCCCTGATGACTGACTGCATCACTAAAAAAAAAAAAAAAAAAAGAGATAGGTTTTTGAACTTATCTAAAAATCATAAATTTGACTTAAATAAAGTTAAAAGACAAACGAATGTAGCATCATGGACTAACAAGCTTCCTCTGTTAAAACAGGTTAACAGACACAGATGCCAGATTAAGAAGCAGTCTTCTTTTTGTGAACTTATTATTCATTTTGACCTCCAGCTATTCTGTATGTTCAGATGCAAACACCACAGTAATATTGTTTTAACCCAGGTGGCATTCCTGGGGTGTTTACATTAAGTGCAGAGTTTTAGTTTGATGAGTCCTTTGAGGCAGCAGCAGAGGTTGTTACTGAGCTAAAGTAGTGCGCTGCGTGGGAGGCTTGGCAAAACACGTTTACCACAATATGTTCTTCAGATTCCTCTGCAAGCGCACCTTTAAGATCTCACTGAAAAACATTAGAGGTATTAGAGAGTGTCGGTAACCTTTGGTTTGAAGTTTCGTTCCTTAATATAACTTTTATTGACTAGAAAAATTATCTGGCCTCAAAAAAAAAGCTTTAAATCAAAGGGATTGAGGGCAACTTTTTGTGGGTGTTTTAGTTTAATTTTAAGATTTGTTTTTAATCTTTCTCAACCTCTCTCTGTTTTCCCTCCCAGCCGTGTCGTGTTGCCGGTCTCTGTTGAAGAGGTGAGTGATTTTATGTTTTCCTTGACCTCAGTCTGCAGACAGGGTTTCAGCGTCATTATAGGTCATTAAATTATTATTTTTTTTAGATTAAGGACTTAATTGCCATTAAAAACCATTATATGTGATTATCATGGCATTTAAATGCTTAAAACTATATTGTCAGACGTAGCTGGTTCCGCATATTTGCGCGGAACTGCTTCCGTTTGATTGTAAAGCCGTATGTTTGGAAAATAAGCTTTTTTTTTATATTCCCCCCCTGCAATTTTTTCCACTTATTGAAATTTCTTTGAATCCACATTGACATGAATTCAACACACTGTAGTAAACAGATCAATGGAGGCAGAAGATGTCTTTTAATCATCAATGCACACATTCAGCGACACACAGGAGCTCTTTCAAACTGGACACCGTTTCATTCACAACACCTGTCCCATCAACCAGGAATCAGAAATACTTTAATAATCCCAGGGAGAAATTACTTTCATTACATTACTCCATCTGTAATAGAGCGACTATAGGAGCAGTTTGATGTAACACAATTTCATACAATATATATAATTAGGGGGTCCCTGCTCCATCTTGCCATCAGTTTGGGGATCCTTGAGCTGGAAAATGTTTGAGAGCGTTAAAGGAGCATTAAAAAGCATTAAATTAGAGTTACTCATTCCTATATAAACCCTGGCAAAGTAGGAACGTTTAGATGCCTGTGTAGGGATGTTTGTTTGTATGGGAAAACTCCTCCACTCACGTCTGAGTTAAAAAAAATTAGTCTTTTTTTTTTTTTTTGTACTCCTTTTTAAAGCTGTTTATTTGGGCGTTTTTATTTTTTGGTTTATTACAGTATCAAGTAGGGCAGCTGTACTCTGTGGCTGAGGCTAGCAAGAATGAGACCGGAGGAGGAGAAGGCATCGAAGTGCTGAAAAATGAACCTTATGAGAAGGAAGGCGAGAAGGGACAATATACACACAAAATCTATCATCTAAAGAGGTAAGCATCTGCTTGTTTGTTTCTTTGTTCTAGTTCTCTGTTGTGATTTAAAATTGTGAAATTTATCCTTTGGGGAGGTAATGCTTATTAGAATATCAGATCTTTAGGACTTTTTAGCTGTGTACACATTAAATGTGTTTAGGAAAAGGGTGAAGAGTTGCAGCCAGGAGGAGCATTTTATAGATCTAAGTGTCTGAGAGCGTTTCAGCCGACTAACCATCAAGGCCATAAAGGGCAGTAAAACAGGTGTTTTCTCTCTGCTACTGTGAGTCGGCAAATTCACCAGCTGCTTTATAGGACAAGAGTTCTGCAACAGATCAGTTTATGTTTTCGATTTTGGCCTCAAAAAGAAAAACAAAAACTGAATTAATATTGAAATACTTCATAGGCCCTAAAGGAAGAAGCAGAATGAATTTAAGACGTTCCCTTTGAGTTTGAGTTCACTGAAGCAGGATACTGCATTCTATTTTTTTATAAACAGATCTTTTTTTTCAAGATTTCATGTTTTAAATAAAAAAGTGATGTAGACTGTTTAGCTGTGTACAGCCTTGCTAATAGTTATTAGATAAGGGATCTCTGCCGTCGTTGGTTGTCATACAGTTGGTTGTCGTAGTATTCATGTTTATGGGATGCAGTTGGTTGTGTTCAGGTTCTGGTCTAAGATCTTTCTCCTCTTGCCCTCATTGGTTCTCTCCAGGATCCAGGCTTCTTCTCTATGTCCAAAAACTTGAATATTAGCTTAATTGGTTTCACTAACCCATAAAAAAACAATGACACGGGCTACTTAAAGTTATTTTACTCTATATTTACTTATACATGTAAACTAAATTAATTTTATATATTTTTTAATACCTGTACAATTTTAAAATTATGTTTATTTACTTTATATATGTCAATGTATTTTATTTTAACATTTCAGGTTATTTTTTTGTATTTATTGAATTGGGTAATGTATTTTTTATTTACAATTAAAAAATATATATATACAAATAAATAGAGTAAAATGTATAAATTTCATGGTACAATAATTTATTTCATGAGACGTTTATATTCCCTCCACATACCTCAGGAATCACCATTGTGAAAATAATGTTGGGAGCAACCAGGGGGTCCTGAGCTCCACTTCTAGAATCCCTGCTCTACATTAATCTTCACCTTGCTGCTCACCCAGTGAGGACTGGAGACGGGCACCAGCACCACTGCGCCCCTGCAGTAATGGCTAGCATAGAAAATGAATGAATGGGTGGATTCATGATGACGCTGTGTTGGCAGGGAAAGAAAATCTAACATGAAATCAAGAGCAATGGGAATTATAATGAATAAAGAATTATTGGTAAAATTAGTAATTACTAATTTTAATACACATTGTTAGTAGTACATCATTATGATTTCCCATTATTAAGCTACCTTAGCTAACCAGTGCTGTACAGGATGAGCTGTTTAATTTAGTTTTTTCCCTCCTTCTATCCAAAATGCTCAGCGCTCCATTTCACACATCTAACTGATAAAATGTTCCTAAAGGAGAAAGTAACACATACAGCTATGAGCTGCTGATAAATATAAAAAAGTGACCTGTCCAGTAGATGTGTGATTATGGCAAAAATTTTGCGTTACAATACGGATGCCCCCTAGCAGCTGGGAGGTTAAGGTGCTGATCAAAGATATTGATTTCATGTAATTAAGCATTAAAATCATGTGGCAAGGCATACCAAGTAGTTCTGAGTGATTATTAATCAAGCAGGTTTATTTCTAACATAAATATCCTCCATTTGGTAGCTCCACAACAACACTCTGAAGCTCAGCAGAGGGTAGTGATGCTGAGGGACATGGAGGCAACTCTGAGGATGACAGCTAATATGACCAAAGTAGCCTTGGTAGAAAACACAGCGGGAAACACGGCTTGCTGGTACAAATAAACAGTTATTAGGGAATTAATATAAATTAATTTAAATTAGGGCTGCAACTAACGATCATTTTGCTAATCGATTAATCTGTTAATTTTTTTTTCTTCTGATTAATAATATAGTTAAAGGTTGTTTAAAGAAGATTTTTTCATGAAATCAAACCAGATGAAACTAAAACATTTCCTCTTGAGGCGTTCTGGATAGAACATATTGACAGATGAAAAAAGTTTTTTTTTAAATCTTAAATGCAAAGTGTTTTACATATTTTTTTTACTTTTTGGTATAATTGCTGCTTTAAGTGGGTCGCTCTTTCAGCTAAAGCCATTTTTTACAGTCTCTACTGTACAGTTAACGATTTATTGACCACTGAATTAGTTGACAATTATTCTTAATAATCAATTAATCCGATTAATTGCTTCAGCCCTAGTTAAATACTTGAAATGAAGATGATTTTCTAATAAATCCTCCACCGATGTTACAAGAAATCCTCTACTATTTTCTTAAAGATAAAATTAGCATCTCCACCTCTCCTTCAGTACCAGGGTTAGCAGATCTGCCTGTTTCCAGCCAATCTTAATGGGAATGATTATTGTTTGGTTTGATTTTTGTAGTAGAGCCGAAGACCCTAAGGGTCAGCTTTGGGATTCAATATTTTAACTCATGATACAATGTGTGAAAAAAGGTTTTTCTTTTAACTGACAAAAAAAGTAATTTCTAGTTCTTTTTACCCTTTATAGGGCAAGTTACCCTTTTTGATAACTTGCATACCCCTTACAGTGAGATCTAGAAGCACAAGATCTATATCTATCCATTCAGCAAAGATGCTGCTACATGGCTGTACATCTTATTTTGGCATTTGACAAATTGGATGAGCCCTTGAATGATATATTACCTAATGTAAATTAAGTTGAAAGAAAAAGTGAAGAAAAAAAGGTGAAAAACTAATTGAAAAGTTCAAAAGTTAAAAAGCTAGTTAACAATTGTATTTAGATTTATAAACAAAAAAAATTAAGTGCCAGTATCAGCATTAATGCCTCTAAGGTTAGGTTGGACCAAAAAAAAAGTGTTTCTTTCATTCTGAGTGTTTTTCATGAATTTCTTATAGAAGCACTTTCACGAGTTGGCATTTCTTGTTATTACATTGACATTCATTTTTTTAATGTTACAAAGGTAATAATGTCTGGTCCTGGATTCCTATAACACTATTAGCTTGACATTTAGATTTTCAAAGTATTTCACTGAGGGTCCTATAAAGGGATCAAACAGTGTTTTGATCTAATTTAATGCAAACTAACAGATCGTGGAATGTGAGCGACAGCAGTCGGCTCATTAACGTTCTCATGTTCAGGCTTGTTTCTGCCTCCAACTCTTGACTGGTGTGATTATGGTGTTTTATTGCATTCCATAATTGTTCAGTCAGCGCACCATATAAGCAGGGCGGTTTAGCGGCGTAGTAGACATGTACTGCAGCCTGTGGAGGATTTCGCAAACAGAAAACAGAATGAATTCAGCTTCATATCTGCTAATAGAGAAGAAACTCTGGTTGAAATGAATCGCGGCTCTGATCTGTGTTTATGTTGCTTGGTTTAGTGATTAGGCTTTAAGACTGAGGATCACCAAGTGTCCCCCCTAGCCTAAGGAGCTAGAAAACGTGACCAATAGGGAGGCCCCATAATCGATATTGGCGTTGGTATAAGCTGCTGACTCTATAGAGTGAATTTTGTGCCAATATTTTTGCAAGCAAACATCATGGTTTGTACATAGAAATTTGAAAAGAAAAAAAATGCAATCTAGAGAAGAAGGTTCTGGAGAAAAGAAAAAGGTTCGGAGGGTAATTTAGCCTTTTTTGTTAGATTTAATTTATTAACATTTTTCCCAAGTTTATTTTTCCCATTTTATTCTTTAAAAAAAAAAAATGATATACATTTTTTAATGTTTTATTATTTTTAAACAGATTTTATATTTTCAATTCTTTTTTTTAATTGGTCTTTTTCAAATAGAGTTTTACAAATTGCATTCTTCTTAAATTTAATTTAATAGATCATTCTCCTCACTCCTCGGGAAGGAATTTCCTCTGGAGTATGAAGAGAAGATACATTTCTATTGGCCTGCTGGACGTTAGCAACAACATCTTAAAACTAGAAAGTTTGGAAAAAGTAGATAAAATCTGTCAAAAAGAAAATTAGGTGGTTGTTTTTTTTTAAAATGAACATTTTAAAAGATTAAAATAAAATAAAAAGATATAACAAAATCTGAGAAAACAGCTAAGTTTTAATAACTTTATTTCTGGATTGCATTTTTGGTTTTCAAAAAAAACATTTTTTTTGTGCAGCAATAATGGAACAAAATTCTATCCATATAGATGTAGTTTTTGCATTTGTTCTGTCATGTTATGATGATGCAGCAAAAAATCATGGTTGGTTTTTCATGGTGTCCAAATGGCAGGAAAGTATCGCTAAATATCAATAATCAGCCATATAATAGAAATATTAATGTCGATATCGGTACAAATATTTATATCTGTTCCTCTAAAGCAGTAAATAATCTGCTGTGGTATTCATTCATGTGATTGTTACAGTCTGCTCTCATCTATGTGCTTCATTTTTCCTTTTTATCTCTATTTTCTTTGCTTGTTGTGGACTGCAGTAAAGTCCCTGGCTATGTGAAGATGATTGCACCAGAGGGAGCGTTAGTATTTCATGAAAAAGCTTGGAACGCTTACCCATACTGTCGCACTAGTAAGTTCACTCTGCAGAAACAAATTCACTATTTGATGTGATTCAGCTATGTTCATGTTAGATATGCTCTGCTAATAGCAGAATTTATTGATCTGTATTTATATTTCTTAACTAATTTCTCTCTGTTTCTTGTCTCTTTTTCCTTCCTTGGTGTGCAGTTGTGACGGTGAGTTTACAAACTTTTAGTAAACAGTTTTTAAAATTCTTCAAAACACTGTTTGGTTTTTATATTGTGATATTATCAACATCCTGAAGCCTGATTTATCACTTAAGGAAGATGAAATATAATATCCTATGATACATTGAATCCAAACTTTTTTTTAAATAAAACCTGTAAAATTCAGTTGAATCTAAGTTGTAGTATACATTTACATTTTCTTTAAAAGGCCCCAGAGGCTATGGAGTGAATTTTTCTTTATTGTTGTTTGCAAAGCACATGATTTGTACATAGAAGTTTGAAAAATAAAATCCTTATTTTATTGAATAAAAAAAAAATTGCAACCCAGAAATGAAACTTTATAAAGCAATTTAATAAAAAAAATTTAGAGTAACTTTGCTGTTTTTTCCGATAATAAAATGTATTCATTCTTTTTTTTTTTTTCAAAACAAGATGGACATTTTTTCCCCCATTTTTTTTAAAGTTCAGTCGGATTCTATTCAAATGGCGTTGCTAACGTTCTGCAGACCAATAGAAATGCATCGTTGCTCCTCCCTCAAGCCCGCACCAGAAGTGAAGAGAAAGAGATCAGTAAAATGTAACTGGAAAAGATTAAATTGATCAAATTCAATCTGAAATTCATTTATGTATTTATTTATTTTTTAAGAATAACATTTGAAGTTATAATATTTGTAAAACAATGCTTAAAAAGTACAATTTGAAAAAGAATAAACTTGAAAATACATATTATAGATTAAACAAAATTAATATAAAATAGGTTAAAAAAAATGAAAAATAATTTATGAAAAAAAAGAGAAAATAGCAAAAATATTTAATTACATTTAATGAGTTAAGTTTAATTACTTTTTTCTTTTCTTTTTTTAAAATCAATTCGCAAAAAGTGTTCATTTTTTGCAATAATAATGGAACAAAATTTACTCCATAAGAGATTTTCATCATCAAACAGCATCACAAAGAGCAAAGGATACAGGCGGGTCAGGGAAACCGTCTTTGGGCATCATTAGGTTATAAAACCAACCGAAGCTCTGATGACCTCATAGCACTGGTCAATCCATCATCTGAAAAACACAAACATTTGGTCACATTTGCAGACTTGAGGAGAACTGGCCCTTCTCCTGATAGAGATCAACCAGAGATTTATGGCAACATGAGCCTTTAACTGCTTTAGTTTCATCAAACATCAAATAATTCAAGCATTTCTAATAGAAGGGTTAAATACAGAGTATGGCTGTCATATATCCAAACCAAGCTGCTGTAGGAGCTGCAGAATTACTAACATAAAAAAAGTTTGTTTTACTGGTAGAAAATGTCACCTGAGTTTAAACAGGATTCTTAAAGGTTCTGTGAAGTTGAATTAAATGTTGGATGCTGTTAATATTTGCCTCTGGAAGTTATCCCTGTACATTCAAACCCCTGACTGCAGATATTTTAGCTCATTGTTATTTAGCTACTTCAAGCGCTGAGTGTTTTTTCATCAGGCAGCGCTCCAGCTACCTGCAGGCTAATAACTGTCGCTTTACTTTAAAATAGATCCAAGCTAAGTGATGCAACACCACCACTGCAGTTTCAGTCTGATTTGCTAATTGGATTAAAGCGTGGGCTTTAAGATTGTCCCTCGCGACCCTCCGTTCATGGTGTTTTGCCAAAGCCGTGCTGAGATCAGCTCTGCCGGGTCACTGCTGGGCATGGCCCGTCTGATCATGGCCAGACACAGTACTGACTGAATCTGTTTGCTTTCCTGCTTCTTTCAGAATGAGTACATGAAAGACGACTTTATGATAAAGATCGAGACGTGGCACAAACCCGACATGGGGACAATAGAAAATGTAAGTAATCTGTGAGGTAAACTGGAGCAATAAGTTCAGTGCTCAGCACCAGTGTAAACACTTTGACATCATTTTAAGACTCCTAATGCCTCCTGGGTTTATGCTGAACTCTTGGTGTTTTTTTTAAAACACGCCCTTGTTATAACAATTTCAAATGTTTAAAACATTAAAGCAAAATAAGTCGTAAAGAATTTGTTTTACCTCAACAACACACTGGAAGTCATATTTGGCTGAAGTGTGGTGAAGCAGCTGTTCTTTTTGTTTCAGGTCCATGACCTGGATGAGGAGACATGGAGGACTGTGGATGTGGTGCCCATAAATATTGCAAACAAAGAAGAAGTGGCTCCAGGGGTGAGTTGGACTTCTCTTCCAGTCCCTTTGAACCGCTAAGCTGAAACCGTCGTTTAAACTAGGAGGGGCTCCGCTGACATTTGAATCTATTCGGTACCGATGCCCCGTACCTGAGAGTAGGTACCATCTAAATGTCATCAAAAACACAAGGCTGATTTACCTGAAAGGGACAAAGATGATGATGGCTCAGGATGCAGACAACAAGCCTCAAAGTATGGAGAGAATTTTGTTACATTATTGTTAAAAGCAGACGCTTTAAAGTCATAACATTACGGGAATGAAGTCGTAACATTACGGGAATGAAGTCGTAACATTACGGGAATGAAGTCATCATACAACAACCCGTTTCAGAAAGAAAGCTTCAAGCTCCGACCAGCTCCACCAATCAGCAACCTGAGTCCACTTTGACCTTCTGCCCAATTTGATGCTGCTGCTAAAAGATTTCCTGATTTGTCAAACCAGAGCTAAAGTATAACTTCACATGATGCTCGACGTTCCTCATTTCAGGGAAGAAAGTGCTTCTTGTAATAGTTGTCATAAAATACAACTTGTTTCTCGTAATTTTAGGACTTTATTCTCTTAATATTATGACTTTATACTCGTTAACTTATTTTATTTTTTTTTAAAGTCTCTAGCCTGGCCCTAATACCCTGTTGTAATTTTCAGATTTTTTTTAGCCTTTTTTATTTTTGTTTATTTTTCAAATTCTATTTTACAAATTCAGTTCTTTTCAGATCACATTTTAATAAATTGTCTTCATTCCTCTGGAAATAAAAAATGGATGACGGAGGAGACTCATCAATGACCTCCAACACAAAACTCTCCTCCTCTTGCATGTTTCCGCTGTCCATAGCGTTCCTTGACAGTGTCGTTTCTAAGTCACCAATTTAGTGCTACTTGGTCCCAATGGAATTTCCCATTGGGAACCCACTAGCACTAAGTTGCTAACTGGTTAGCAAGATGCTTCTGACAAACCGGCCACAACAATCCCGTCCCTTTGATAATCGACCAATCACAGTCACTTTATTCACTCGTGTAAAGTCGGGCACCACTCGGGAGAATTCGGAAATGCAGTGATTGGAACAGCCGCTTCCCAATGATTTTAACCTCCAATTGCTCCCCAGGTGACACACAGTGGCAGCCCACTACTCCCCAAGGGGATGTGTTAAGATGCAGAAGTGAATTTCTCCATTGTGAGATCAATGATGTTCAATTATTATTAAAACCATGAAAACAAATTAAACCCTGAATGTTAGTCTGTGACAAAAGCTGTCATAATAGATTGTAAAATAGGTCTGTGGGGTTTTAAGTTAATAAATAATTAAGTTACCATTAAGTTAACACCTCAGACCAACAGACGGGAACATTTTCTTTTTCCAGTCATCTCTGCCAGGTGAAAACTCTTCAGGTTTACTCCCTACCTTGAGTCTCCTAAATGAATTTGGTTATAAACAAAACTGAGACTACAGTCTTGTTGGCATGGTAACGTGTTACATTCTCAACTTAAACCACCAAATCATGGCTCTCTGTGACCCATGAAATAAGATTAGCTGCATGAAGCAGAGGAAAGTTCTGATATTTGGATGGTTGATGCGTGTACGGGTGTTTTTCTGGTTAGTGATTCATGAACAGAGGTTTCACTAATGAATTAAATCCAAACTGGATTTGATCAAAGCCATTTCATTGCAGATGAGTTCCACTCGGCGCTGCCTGCCTTTCTCACGTCGGTTCTTATACAGTAATGACTTAAGTGGATCAGTGTGGTAGCGACAGCTAAACTTAAACGTCCATCTGTTCCAAGTATTCAGCTGCTTTTTACAGATTGAAACAGAATCGTGACCTCAGGAGGCATGAGAGGAGTGAAAATAAAATTAAGCTTTAGGAGATTTATCTTTTTTGTTGTAGATGTTTGGATTCTCTTTGCTTTGTTTACACAGACGGATCAATGTTTAAAAGTCACACAGACACAACTTCTTATGTTCATTACCTTTGTCTCCCAAAATATCTGAGTGTTGCTGCGAGAATTTAAACACCTTACTTCCTTTTTTTCTTTTTAATCCCTTTAGGACTACAAGCCAGAAGAAGATCCTGCCCTCTTCCACTCCGCCAAGACGGGCAGAGGCCCGCTAGGTCCTGACTGGAAGGTACCAGACATGAAACCAGAACTTAATCCAGTTGATTTATCACCTCGTGGAAGCTGTTAGTGATCGTCTGCTCCTGTGTTTCCTCAGGATGAGCTGAAACCAGACTGTCCTTACATGTGTGCGTATAAACTGGTCACTGTCAAGTTCAGATGGTGGGGCCTGCAGACCAAAGTGGAGAACTTCATCCACAGGGTATGCTCTCCTGCTTTTATATAGAGATGCTCAATCTATAGAAATATGTCTGCAGCTTTGCTAAACTATTCATCTCCATTGACATTTTTCAAATTTAAATGTTTTGCTGCCCCATTAATATATTTATGTGACAAAATGGAGGATTTTATTTTGTATTTATTCCTATTCCGATTCTATTTGAGATGGAAAACATAAAATATGAATTCCTATGAATTCCACGCTCAAATTAAAAGATACAGTAAAATAGTTTTATTTTATAATGGGTTATTGTACGTTCCACTTTTGGACTCATAAATACACACAAGTCAAAAAAGGTTGGGAAACACTCTCCTAAACATCCCATATTAGGCTCGTTGTTTTGCTGCAGGCGAAGCTTTCCCCCAACCTTGAATCTATGACAGCATTTAATAATTTTTCCTTCCAGGACTTACTCTATTTGGCTCGGTCTATCTTCCCAGCAATCATGACCAGTTTCTCTGCTGGTTGCCCTCAGCATGATACCGCTACCTCCATGTTCACTTTGTTCACGGTGTTGGTTTCCACTGTACAGTCTAGTCCCTGTAGAATAATAAAGAAAATGTTTCATTCTGGTAATTTTCTGACCAGAAAACCTTTTCCCACATGTTAGCTCTATAGCTAAACAGTACGGAGGATGGTCTCCTTCCTCGTTAGCTTTTAGCCTTTAGAACTTATAGTTCTCCTAAGCTATTGGTCCCTGTAGTCCCCTAAATGACTTGGTTACTTCCCTTATCCTCCCCTTGCTCAGGGAGTCGGTTTAGGTGAACAGCCATGTTCTCGTAGATTTCAACCTGGGCTCAGTCTGGTTTTCTAGAGCTGCTGTCCTGCAAATTTTTAGAAGCATTTCTTCTCCAGCAACAAACATGTGCTCCACTTTGATTAAACACAACGTGAACAAAATGAAAGTTATATGATCATTTGAGTAAGTTTTTTTTTTTTTTTTTTTTTTCCTCATTTGTATGGAGTGAATTTTCTTCCATGATTATTGCAAGCAGCAAAGGATGCATATTGCAAAAACT